GAAAGAGTTGAACAAGCTGTACTCAGAAACCCCGAATTTGAAACGGTGAAGCACATGAAAACGCCCCGTGGGGACGGCTCTACGGTGGTAAGGTGTGATATTGTTCTTAGGTATTTAGCAACAGATATTTCATCCCCTCTGAAAGAAGCCGCCTTTACATCGGAACATTAACGAAGGATAATGAATGCTGCATCCCTTCATCATGAATTAGTCATGAGCCTCTCCAGCCCCACACTTTTAATTAACTACTCCGTCTGTCAATTTTTTTTTTCTAGAGCTCTTCTAGCTGGTCTAAAGAATGTCAATCTCCCTGGTAGACTAAAATGACAAAAAAAAAAAAAAAAAAAAGAAATTAAAAACCACAAAAAAAAAAAAAAAAAAGTACTTAAAAAGCATCTCCCTGCAAGATGTACAGTTGTTTTCCAGAGGTATAAAAATAAGAATTGTACTGAGCAGGTGCCGAAGGCTTTGAAAGCGAGGTTAGAAATCAGAGTGGGGTTCCGTTTGAGCAACGCCTTTAGAAAATAAATTACTCTTTAAAACACCCGCAAAGTTTGTTTCCGGAACAGGAGGAAAGAACACGCGATCCTTTTAAAGGACAAGTGACAGAAATCACAATAGGAATTGAGGCTGTTACGCTGCTCGGTGTTCAGGACAGAAGGCGGCTGAAGTTTTTTTATTTTGTTTTTTAAGAGGTTTTTGTTTGCTATAGGGTGCGTGTGCTCGCCAGACAGACAGAGAAAGACAGAGAGACACGAAGCGAGAAATCACCTCCCAGCAATCCCTTCTCCTTCTCTCGGGATCTTGGGCACGCACACACACGTGCCCTGCGTGAGTTTTAAGCCACTGGGTCTGGGACTCGAACTGCAGTCAACTATGTGGGAGTCCAGTGACATACCCATTATGCTAACTGCTGGTCCCCTAGGAGGCTGAAGTTTTAAGCCTCCATGGACCTTTCTTCTAGAAGGAGAGTCCACCGTGATGGGGTTTAAACGCAACAGGAAAAAATAAGATATACCCTGAAAGGTCTTGTCTTTTGGCTCTAATTCTTCTTTCAAGTCAGATCCCTTGAAATAAAAGACCATGGAGTCTTGGAGGGAAGAGTAACTGGGCTCCAGTTCTCGGCCCGTCCAGCAGGGGTCCCCGATGGCGCTGTGGCGATCGGGTCTCAGGGCTGCCCTGTGCCTGGGAGGGAGTCGGCGGCATCCCAGCCTGTGCCTGAGAGATACCAGGAGCACCCATCACCCCAAAGGTGACAACCAGAGAGGTCTGCGGCCTTGGCCGAATTCTCTCCAGAGAGCCAAATTCACCCTGGCTGGCAGAAAACTACCTCCTGCTTGTCCCAAGCCACCTTGGCAACACCCTGCAGTCACCCCACAGCTTCTCTGTGAGCTCCTGTCACACCGGCCAGCAGGGGCCAAGCTTCATCTTATTTTTGCTCCAAACAAAAGTCTTCTCCTCCATTTTTTTTTCTTTTTTAATGCTATAGGGTGCAAGCGCTATAGAGACAGAGACAGAGAAAGTGAGAAATCACTAACCTGGGAGGATGGCCATGCTGCAACCCCTTCTCCCTCGTTCTCCTCTCAGGATTTTGGCCCACACGTGCATGTGCCTCATGTGTTTTTCAAGCCACTGGGTCCGGGACTCGAACCTCATAGTTGGCCATAGGAGATCCGGCTGCCTCAACCTCCGCACCACGTGGCTGGCCTCGTCTCTTACTTTGATAGCCACGACGTGGTCCTTTTCATCTCTCTTTGGTGGAGGAGGAAGCTCAAGCCCAGGGAGACCGAGCTGCCTTGGGAGATCATTCAGCCGGTGCCTGCAGAGCTGGGATTCTACATTCTCTCCAGAGCGGAATCCTAATTCAGGAGCCTTTCTGTACCGACTTGAACCAAGAGACTGCTCTGAGAGCCCTTTCCTGCCCTCTCCTCTGAGCCAGTGGCTCGGTGGACCTGGGCTTGTCCGATGCAGCCCCAGGCTACCCACCTGGATGTCATAATGGGTGATGTCACAAGCAGGCTGTGTCTGTGCTGGGTGACAGGAACCTCCTCTGTAAGCCCTGGCAAACTCTGCTTCCTTCAGCCCATCCCGAAGCCCACCAGCACACACACTCTGCTCCCCCAGCGGCGCCCTTGTCTTGCAGAGAGGGACCTCACTGTGCCCTCAGAGTGGCCTTGCCTAGGGGAGGCGTCTGTCTGCAGGAAGGGACCCTGCTCTGTCCCTCAGGTGCTGCAGAGCAGCTGAGAACGGCGGTACATGACAAGGCTTCCCATCACACCCTACTTCACCCTTGGCTGTCTTGACTACAGTCGGCCCCCAGGTGAGAGGATGCAGTACATCAACCCCAACATCTAAAATCCCCCTCTGCTCCCCCAGGCTTGCACACGCCCCGCCACACGCCCGTGGTGCTAAGGTGCACGCTGACTCCGGCGGCCCAGCTCCACTCCTCTCTGGGAAGAAAACGCTAGGCTCTCCTGAGTGCTTCTCTTACGCCACACCAACGGCCACACCACCCCTGCAGCATCAGAATGTTCTAAGAACCCGGCCACACTCTCCGGGGACACTGTGTCACTCAGACCACATGGTACGGCGGAGGCAGACACTCCGCACCCAGCCGGTGCCACCCACCCAGCAAAGGCACTGCACATCCCACACTCACGCTATAAGGAGGGCCGGCGGTCTCAACCGGTTGTCTGGGGAGACCTTCCGTTGCAGAGATGACCATGCGCAGTGCACCGACAGGACAGCTCTCAGCAGGGGCGCTCCAGACACTTTGGCTTCATCCTGTGAGTTCATTCAAAAGAGGAAGAATTAGGCCTGCAGTAGCCATGTGCTCAAACACTGATGCATATGCATTTTGGATGAGAAGATCCCCCTCCCTGAATGTGCCTTTTCTGCCACCGCCAAACTCCTACTCATCCGCAGAAGGCCTCCATGAATACTCCCTTGACTATCACAGCAGAATTCCTCTTTCTGATAGCTGTTATTACTATTTGCAACAATGTATGTATTTATTTAATTTATGAGCCATTGCCCCTGCAGGGGCAAAGGATGTCGAGGGCAGCAGGAGCCGTGATTCACCTGTTCATCATAGCACACCTTCAAGGGCATGGAGTTTAAGGCCCTGGATCCCGACCCACGGTTCAAGTTCTGGACCTGGTAGCCTGAAAAACACTCCAGGTGTGTGTGCGTGGGTGCCCAAGAGGAGAAGCGATTGTGGCATGGTTGTCTCTCCTGGGGGAAGGAGTGATTGCTCACTTTCCCTCACTCTCTGGATCATCCTATTTACGCAGGGAAGCTTCCAGAATACTCCATGAACGAGTCACCCTGGTGATGACTGTAGACAGTGCGGGTTGGCCCCATAGCCTAGTGGTTCCAAGGAACCAGATCCCACATGGCTGACTGTGGTTCGAATCCTGGTCCTGGTGACTTAACACATCAAAGCCAGGCATGTTTGCCTCTGTGCCCCGAATCCCAATGGGAGGGAGAAGTGGAAGAGAAGGGATGGCAGAGTGACCACACCCCACTGGGGGATGCCTTCCGCCTCCCTCTCTCTTCCTCTCTCTCTCTGTAAGCACACGCACCCTCCGGCAATTAAAACTAACTCCGTATCATACATGCCTCTGAGGGCTTCAGATAAGAAGTTGTGGATGTGTATCAATATGCAGCACGCGTCGAAGTCTGCTAGCCAGACTGCAGAAATACTCTGCATTCACTCGACGGGAGCGTGTGTCCAAGTGTCACTCTACAAGAAGAACATCTGCAACTATCAGACTGAATCAGACAGCTGCCCTCCTAATTCTCAGAAGCCCCTTTCTTGCAGGAGCAATATTGTCATTGGGTAGGACACAGAATAAAGGAGAAGTCCTAGGGGGTATTTCCACACTTGACATGACGGCCAGTCATTCAGGCTGTAGGGACACTGTTTACCTCAAGGCCACCATGGCCAGGCCTACAACAGGGCTTCGTCTTCACTGCAAAACGACAGATACCCGAATGGGAGCTGGATTTGAATGGACGACACAAAACCAGTTTTTAATTTTTAGTGTTTATTTATTTTTAGAGAGATTTTTCTATAGGGTGTGTGCAGAAACAGAGACAGAAAACATGAAATCCCCCCCCCCCCCAGGGGGGATGGCTACGCCGCAGTCCCTTCTCCTCCATTCTCCTCTTGAGATCTTGGGCACGCACGCACAAGCGCCCGGCATGAGTTTAAGCCACCAGGTCCGGGACTTGAACTGCGATCAACTCCATGGGAGTCCAGTGACGTAACCATTACGCCACACGCTGGTCCCCAAAACCAGTTTTTTTAAATCAGCCACACATCATACTGTCGGCCCAATGAAGGAAAAGAATTTCAGGCATGGGATTTTCTCTGTGGCTTTCTCTTGACTTGGAGCCAATGTCAAAGTTTTCCAAAGAATCCGACTTGAGTCTGCGTAGTGATGCAGGCCACTGTGTGGCTGGCTCGGGAAGGGGCTTGTCACCGTGTTCAATGTAGGCTCAGGGGAGCGTGATTCTCCAAGGCTCAGTTGGGGAGGTGCTATTTTAAAAAATGGAAGGCTACTGCATTCTTTGGCTTCTTCTTCTTCACATGCTGCTACCAGAATGCTCTTTATTGAGAGATGGATAGCATTAATAAATACTGAAACCAACTCGCATTAATAAATACTGAAACCAACTCGCATTAATAAATACTGAAACCAACTTGCAAAACCTCGGGTCTGTAGAGACCAGCCAGTCTCAGGCATTTACATCTGACAACATGGTCATGGAGGCACACCCCCTGAGAAGCGGGAAAAGCCCGAGCTATGCAATCCAGCACATCCGGGCTCTGGTGAGAGTTCTGTGACGTACAGCCTCTGGGATCGTGGGCAAGTGATCGGTCCAAGTCTTAGTTTGGGGGGGGCATTCGTGTTTTGTCTCCCTAAATCAGCTGTGGAATTCTCCAAGTGGAGGAAACTTTTTTTTTTTTTTAATTTTGCTAAAGAGGTGTATCGCTTCCCCAAGACAGATAGACAGACAGACAGACAGGAGGGACAGTAAGAAAGCACCTGCCATGGGGCATGATCATGCCGTAATGCATTCCCTTCCATCTCTTCTTGGGGATTGGGGGCACACACGCACATGCACCCAGCATGTTTCTGAAGTGCTGGGTCAGGACTTGAGCTGTGTGTGCAGCCGTGTGGTATGCAGCTGCCTTCATAGATACACCACCAGCGGGCCTCTATTTTTTTTTTTTTTATGATTTTATTGGCAGAAGGCACATGCATTTGCCAGAGACAGAGAAAAAACACCCTCTGATGAGGCACGGTCATGCCGCAATCCTTTTTCCTCCATGTCTCTATCAATTGCAACTGCTAGGATTCTCTCTCTCTCTCTCTCTCTCTTTTTTTTTTTTTAAGAATTATTTTATTTATCTTTACTTATTTATTTTAATTTGACCAGATATGGAGAGAGAGAGAGAGAGAAAGTGTTAAAGCAAGCTGCCAGGTCCAGGACTCAAACCACCGTCAGCTATGTGGAAGTCTAGCACCCTTCACCACCACACCATCTGCCGGCCCCACAACTGCTAGAATTCTTGAATGTCTTGAATGTGATTCTGGGCATGTAGGCACATATGCCTGTCATGTTTCTCAATCACAGGGGGCCAGGATTTGAACCGCAGTCCGCCGTGTGGGATTCAGTTCCACACACAGGGTGTAGACACTGTGGCATGAGGCCAGCCTGGTCATAGCACCCTTTGGTTTCCACTGTCCAGGGGGGTATACACAGCAGCAGACGAGGAACCGTCACAACCGGGAGCTGGTGCGCTGCTCAAACCGATTGCACAGTGAATTCTGGAGGCTTCTCCTGGGGAACTAAGAATAGTCTCAGGGTTTCAATTGAACACAGAAATGTCACAGAAAGTATGCTTCCATACATTGGCCTGTATAAATATGTATGATCTTTAAAAAAAAATACTTGAGTAACGCATAGACAGGTGGAGCATCCCTAATCCAAAAGGCTGAAATATCTGAAACTTTCTGAGCCCTGCCATGACACCACCAGTGCAACATTTCAGACCTGACTTCATGGGTTGGGTTGCTGTCAAAATGCTGCACTATGAAAATGCCGTAGAGGATCACCTTGGAGCTGTGTACATAGGTGTCTACGACACATAAACAAATGCTGCATTTAGACTCTGATTCCACCCTCCAGACATCTCCTTAAACATATGCAAATATTCCAGAACCCAGAATCCCAAATACTTCAGGTCCCACACATTTCAGACATGGGATACTCAACCTGCCTGTAATGTGGATGGCATTGCTTCACTCATAGTAGATGGTTCTTAGCTCGGCCTTCATCAAAATACAAGGGGACTTCACAGAGTGTATCAAAAGGGGACCAGCAGATGGCGTAGCAGTTACGGTGCTAGACTCCCACGTGGACCACTACGGTTCAAGTCCTCGACCCGGTGGCTTGAAACTCACATGCGTGCCCAAGATCCTGGGAGAAAAATAGGGAAGGGATTATTGAGGCCTGGCCATCTCCCCAGGGGTAAGTTCTCACTTTCCTTCCCATTGTCTCAGACTCTCCAGTGAGCGCACGCATCCTATGGCAAAAAAACATCTTTTTTTTTGGAGAGGTTTTTGCTATAGGGCGCGTGCGCTCGCCAGAGAGACAGACAGAGACAGAGAGACAGAAAGTGAGAAATCACCCCCCAGGGGGGATGGCCATGCCACAATCCCTTCTCCTCCATTCTCCTCTTGGGATCTTGGGCACGCACGCACACGTGCCCGGCCTGAGTTTTAAGCTACCGGGTCCGGGATGCAAACTGCGGTCAACTACGTGGGAGTCCAGCGACATAGCCATTATGCTAACTGCCGGTTCCCGGCAAAAACATCTTTTTAAAACAAAAAAAGTTTATGAAAAAATAGAATTAAATTACCAGTGTATTTTGGCACACACAATAAAGTCTGACGTCCACATGTAGTTTGCTCATAATATGCGTTTTCCCCGAACTCTCCTAACTGTATCTGCAACAACTCTATTTCCAAATAAAATCACAGTGAGATTTCTAGGAATGACAGGATTTGGGGGAGGAGGGGGAGACATTTTTAGTCCAGTAGAAGGAGCCTTCCAAAAATGGACAGAGGTCTCCAGTTCACCCAGCTCAGGCAGTCTCCTCGGGGATTTTGACGGACACCTCGCCGAGAGTTACTGTCTGAGAATGCAGTCTCAACAGGATCCCTCTCATCCTTCATCCTTAACGTTCTATGGCATGGTCTTGCCTTATGACGTCAAGGCTTAACAATTGGGCTTTGATTTTTATCCAGGGACCAGACAGTAGCCAAATTGGTTCTCCCCCCACCCCTTTTTTTTTTAAGATATTTGCTATAGAGTGTGTATGCTTGCCAGACAGAGAGAGAGAAAGGGAGAAAGAGAGAGAGAGAGAGAGAGAAGAGAGAGAGAAATTGTCCCCCCCCCCAAGGAGGAATGGCAAAAAAGGAAAATTTATTGAATCACTCAAAGCATATAGAACTTTCTTTTTCTTTTTTTTTTATTTTTTAGAGGTTTTTGCTATAGGGCGCGTGCACTCGCCAGACAGAGAGAGAGACACACAGAGATAGAAAGCGAGAAATCACCCCCCCCCCAGAGGGGATGGCCACGGCGCAATCCCTTCTCCTCCATGCTCCTGTCGGGATTTTGGGCACATGCGCACACGTGCCTGCCGGGTCCGGGACGCGAACGTCCGGGACGTGAACCGTGGTTGACTATGTGGGAGTCCAGTGACATAG